GGAGGTTCCAGGAAGCCCTAAAAAAAAAGGAAAATATTCAGAAAAGACCCATTAATTTTAAATCCTTCTAGAACTTTGCTGATTTGTCTAATACACAATGGCTACTTGAAACTAGGTCTATGCATAGAAGTTTTTACTAATGCTGGTTCTTTGGTGTTTAGCATCCAGCTTGATCATGGAGCTACCATCCCAGAATCCTAAAATATCACTGGACTCCAGAGAGGTCCTAGAGCCTGGTTCCCTATTATTCACAAAGCTCTCTCACCATTGTCTCCTTACTAATTCTGAGAAATATTGACCTTTAGCAGTGCCTTCCTTCTTTCTCTGCCCACTCTACACTCCTCTCTCATTTCTCTCCTCTAGCAAAATCTCATTAATAAGCCTAGAGTATGGAAAGTAAAGTGCTATATGTCACTTTGCTATTCAACCTGAAACATTAATTTCCCTAATTAAAAGAAACACAAACAAGCTTGTCACCTCTTTAAAATGTATAAGGGGAAATATAAGGATAATAAGCCATAATTTATATCTCAGTACATGATCATACCATAATCTTGGAATTTGTATAATTTTTTATTATATATAGAAAGGAGAGTTGTAAAATTAAAATTGTAAGCTTATGTGGAGTTATTAGAGAATAATGCAAGCTGTGATAAGCATTTTAGCTAGGGCTTAAAAGAATAATAAGATTTCAGTAAATGGAGGTGAGAAAAGTAAATTGTTAAGTATGCTAGGGTAAAGACATAAAATCTAAATAGTATGAGACTTATATGTAGAAAGCATTGAGTGCCAGGCTACGGATTATGAAATTTATCATTTTAAAATATAATTTGAGGGTAGAAGTCTGAAAGAAGTAGTACAATAATGTCTTAACGTGATGTATTCCCTCTCCTTGATGTGTTGCAACCTGGAAAAAAAAATGTTTTAAGGGGAGGAGTTTCCTTTCATTATACCATATAAACAAATGCCTACCTTGCTTATAAATGAAATCTCATGTATTTTGAAATTGGAGAAAGTTAAATGACATTTATATTAGGAAAATGTTAGGGAAAGTAGAGAACTGCAATGGAAAAAATTAGGAGGGAAATGTTTTTGCTTGCATTTAGATTATAAGTTCTTTAATTAGACAATGACCATAATGGTTTCCAATTGGTAAATGTCACAATAAGTAAATAATTCCCTATCTCCCCTCATAAAAATCTCTTTCAGTATTTTTCAGCAGCACAGCTTGTGCCAAAATATGTACATTGTTTAAAAAATATTATATATATGCTATAGGAAAGTTATGTTATATATAAGTGTATTATATATAATAAATATAAATACATATATTTGGGACTTTTTAAAATATTTATTATTAAAATCCCTGTAATAAAAATGTAAGCTTTAATAGCTTGAAATATTGATACCTTTTTTCCAATTTAAAAACTTCTTATAAATTGTGAATTTTTAATAATGAATAGAAACTATAATTTTAAAAAGACAAAGGAACTATACCCTTGAAAGAGAACACCCATATTCATTCTCTTATTTCTTTTTAAAATATTCGGTATTTAACAAGATCTGTAGAGAAAGAGCTACAGTTTGAGAAGTTTAGTTAATGTCTTTTATCCTAAATTATAGTGATCCTTTTCTTACAGTTTTAAGAAATAGTGTAATCCTTTGACTATTAATCTGAAACTCATTAATATGTCTTGTTCTAAATTCTGGCAGTAAAAATCTGCACTGCTGAATTAAGTCTTATACTTCTTGGTAGTGGGACTGATTATTTCACTTTATGTCCTTTTCCTAAGGGCATATTAGACAGTGATAAAAAGGAAAACCATATGGGACTACCCTCTGACTTTAAAATTGACGTAGTGATACAAGTGATTTTCAAAAAGCCACTTTGGGGATCAGGTTAACAACAGTGTGCTTTGCAGAAAATCTTCAAATAATATCTTTCAAATAGGAAAAAGAGATAATAAACTTAATGAGTTAAACCTGTCATTAAAACACAATGTCCAGATCATTCAAGATGTAAAAAGGACATGAAATAATACTTTTATCCTGATGTTCTTAAAAAAGAAAACCATTATATATACTGTAATATCAATATGGGACATACATTCAGTTTTATTGAAGACACACTGTTACATGTGGGAACATTGTTGCCAAGAATGAAGTTCCACCATTCAGAGTTACTACTAAAAAACATAAACAGTAGGGGCACCTGGCTGGCTCAGTCAGTGGAGCATGCAACTCTTGATATCAAGGTTCTAAACTGGAGCCCCACATTGGATGTAGAGATTACTTAAAAATAAAATCTTTTAAAAAATCAGAACACCTAAACAGTAGAGTGACACAAAGTAAAAAGACCACAACAGAAATATTTGCTTTACTAAATATTTATCCATTTGAAATTCTAGGGTTTGGATATGTTATATTAGCATTAATATGCATATGTGGGTAAATCAATATGAATATGAATATCATCATCCTAAATATTTTAATAAAAAGTATTTAACATTATACAAAGATATGTATGAAGAATTATAAAACTGGTAAAAATGTTAATTGTTTCAGCATGTAAAATACGATTTCAATATAGACATTTACTTAGATTTACAATTATGTTCAGTGTTTTCACTTAAGGAAATATTTATATAACAACTCATTGGTATTACAATTTAAATTATATACACTATAGCAATTCAGTTTTTAAAGTAACATGATAATTTTATTTATTAACTGTGTAACACATTTCTATTACTTTTTCCTATAACTTTTGCTGCATACCTTGTGTTCACCTCTTCATAAGACAGTTTTGTACTATCAGTTATATACATGTGTGCTCTGTTGATTATACAAGTTCCAAATTCTTTTTCTTTATATTACTTTTATTCTGCTTTTTTTTCTTGCTTAGAAACACTGTCTTCTTTTGTTATTTTCATTGTCTTTGTTTTTTGGATGTTGAGATTCTTCATTATTATTACTCTCAGAGTTTTCTTTTTCTTTGTGATACAAGAGTTTTTGACATCTGAAAGCATCTTCAGTCTTCCCATTTTCAGTTTATGTTTGTGGCTTTACCTAGGCATTCTTCTACTATTACATTTTAACTTCAGTATGGTTAATAATATTTTTTCTGATAGAACCAGTTGTGCATATTTCTATTTCTGATAGAACCAGTTGTGCATATTTCTTCTCTTCACAGTCATTGACGTTAGTAGCTTGAATTGGCTATCTGGGAGTATTTACATGATGGAAATTGACAAATATCACAAATCAGGGCTTTTTCTTCACCAGATGGATAGTTGTTAAACATTTACCAGCATACCACTGCCTTATATAGTATATCAAAATTAATTTTAGATTTAACAAAATTTAAATGCAAAAAGTCAAAATGTTAAAGGACTAGAAAAATATACATGAGTATTTATTTTTTTTACATTGGAAAATTAATCACTTTATTTTTATTTTTATTTGTTTTTTTAATAGTAATTTATCCAACTGCTTTTTTAAATTATTTTTTTATGTTATGTTAAATTAGCCAGGATATAGTACATCATTAGTTTTTGATGTTGTGTTCAACAATTTATTAGTTGCCTATAACACCCAGTGAGTATTTAAACAAGCTGTATATGAAAACAATGAAAGGAAACTCAAAAAAGAGTATCAATAGGTTTTAGAAATATATGGTAAATATATTAAATCTATTTTAAATGAAAATGGTGGAAGGTAACTTGGTAACCTGGTAAGTGAAGTGATGGTAAGTGTTGGTTGGTCAAACCTGAAACTTTATGTTGATTTTTTAAAGTTCTCATTTAAGCTAGTTGATGCGATTTTTCTTTAGTTTATGAACATATGTCCCAGATAAATGTTACAATACTTATAAAATTATTCAACTCTACAGTTTTTTTTTTAATTTCTACAATTATACTCTGACCACAGAAATTCCTATGCAGTGGTTAGAGTAGTTATTTTTTTCCTCAAAATACTTTATATAATTCCACCACTGTGTAGATTATTAATCAGAAAAATCAATCATGTAAAATATTGTCAAATATGCTATTTCTCTATTTGTTAAATAAAGTTCAGAATAATTTCATTCAAATTTTAAATCTTTTAGTTGAACATTAGAAACTAAGCTTCTGTGATAACCTTCGAATCTATTATTTTATTTTCCTGTGACTTATTATCTTTGGGCTAATGACTTAGATGTGTCAGGATAAATATTTACATTTTTTCAGGTATTAGGGCATAATTACACTTCTCTGGTATTTTTATGGCATGATGGTTATACATTCCCTTAAATTTCTAATGACATTCACATGATAACTTACTTATCTTTCAATGTGAAAACAATTTATTAATATTTTCCTACCTTTTAAAACTTTGTAAATATTTATACATAGAAAAAAATCTAATTTGTATTCTGCTAACTTCCTTGTGACAATTTCTCTTTCTCTATATTCATTTTTACCAAGTGAGAATATCAAAATAACTTGTTCCCTGTAAATTTTCAAATTGTTCCTTCTCCAAAAGAAATCAATTTTAAAATACACTTTTTCAAAATCAAGGATTCCAAAATTAGTAATGTTTTCTAAGATTCCTTCAATTTAAGCTCATTAGATGCTTATTGCATGCTAAATTTCTGTGTGTAGCCAATACCTCTTACATTTCTTGGTTTGTTATATAACCATGTGTTATTAAATAAAATTGATGCCATTAATATGCAAGGCAGGTCTATTATTAATTTTTTATTTTATGTACCTTCTCTGAGCCTGTAATTATTTCATTTAATCAAAGTGTCTGCTAGCATAACTTGGATTTTTTACTAATTCAGATATGATGTGTCTTTCTATCTTATTTTATTCCAAATTAGTATGCCCTTTTTATTTTATAACAAAAATGTTAAAATACAGTCTGTACTGTAAAGTGGAGATTAGATTTCAATATCCCTATTACATATAAAGATTTTTAAATATATTTTTGACATTATTTTAACATTTTTTTTCCAGATAAAGCCTTATGTTCATATAATTCAGGTAAATTTTAGCATGCACAATGTTTAATGCATGTATTCATATGCACAGTTTAGTTGGTTTTGTTGTTTTGTGCTTTGTCTGGTTATTGTGCATATGTTAAATTCCTAAACAAAATGTTAGTAGCTTCCTTTTTCTGCCTTTAGTACTTTTCCAGCATTTCCATGCTTACATCTTTATTATTTTGGTATTAAAAGCCATTTGTTGAAATATAGTGATTTATGATTTCAGTGTGTCTAATATTGTCTCTTATAGTATGGTACTATTTCATCAATGAATTATGGTTCAATATATTCTGTGTTACTGTGTGCATTGTTTCATAAAACTTGAATTTATATGGATACAATTTTTAATGTTTTTTACTTATGGAGGGGTAGTGTTAAAAATTCTAAGTATGTTGAATTAAAATACAATTAAAACTATGATGTTTGCTGTAGTTTCCATCATTTTAGCTATTCTGTCATATCTTCTAAGGAAATCTGAATAGATTTACTTGTATTACTCTAATGTATTATAAGTTTTAAATTCACACATGCACAGAGTATATCAAGATATTTTAAACTAATGTGAAATTTTATAACTGGTCACTGGGACTTACTTTAGTTTTAATACTTTTAATATGAAAGTATTTTACATATATTTAGTCTAATGAACTTTTATATTTTTAAAAATTATCTTCTTGAATAAGTTTAGGAAATAATTATAAAAAGCTTCAGGAATGCCACACAAAAGTTTCAGATCTACTGAGGAAGGCTACCACTTACAACCAGGATGAAATAGAAGGGACCGGACTTCCTACCTCAGACAACAAAAATGGACAAATATATAAGTTAATTGATTTAATAACACTGGATATCAGGCAACTGAGGACAGTAATTATTAAGAGTAGGAAGACAAATGAGTTGAATCCTAAAATTGCCTTAGCCTGCCACTTTAAGAGAATATCCTACACAGAGCATAGGGGGAGAAAAAGCAGATGGAGCCTATGGACTCCCTGAGGTAAGGTGATGGAACTAAGAGTTTGGGGAGACAACAGTATCTAGAGTTCACTGAACTCTACTGAAGAGGAGAGAACTATCCAGAGAGAGAACTCCAAAGAACTTCAGAGGGTCCCTCTCAAGTGTTCAGCTGAGTATTGATCAGTGCATGAATGGAGGAATCTACCCAAGCCTTGAGAAAGGACCACCCAAAAGGTATAAAAGTAATAATGCCTGAGAATAGTGCCTGTTTTTTGGTTTTTGTTTTTGTTTTTTTTTCCCCATGAGGCTGGATAACAACAGATTTCAAAGGACGTTGGGTTGAGTTCACAGAAGTCTCTGGCCTCAGTAGTGAAGAATATTTGGCCCTAGACTGACACTGTATCTACCTAAAAAAAAAAATCTTAAAAGCAAGAACTGAAAGGCTCAAAATGTTTCTAAGTACACAACTACATGTAGAAAAAGCTCAAGAATAGTTATAGAAATACAGAAATATCTAACACATAGGGGCGCCTGGGTGGCTAGGTCGTTAAGCGTCTGCCTTCAGCCCAGGTCATGATCCCAGGGTCCTGGGATCCAGCCCCACATCGGGCTCCCTGCTCCGCGGGGTAGCCTGCTTCTCCCTCTCCCACTCCCCCTGCTTGTGTTCCCTCTCTCGCTGTGTCTCTCTCTGTCAAATAAATGAAATCTTTAAAAAAAAAAAAAAGCATTAAAAAAAAAGAAATATCTAACACATAACAAGGGAAAATTCACAATAGCTGGCCTCTAATAAAAAATTACCAGCCATACAAAAGAGAAAAAAAAAAGACCCATAAAAAAGATTTAAATCAATCAAAACTAAACAAGAACTGGTACAGATGTTATAATTAGTAGACAAAGATATTAAACAGTTAAAGCTACTTATGTTCAAAATGTTAAGACACAAAAGATATAAATGGATCCAAATGAAACATCTGTAAATGAAAACTACACTATCTAAAATAAAAATACACTGAATGGGATTAACAACAATAAACATTGTAGAGAAAAATTTGTGAACTTAGAGAGACAGCAATAAAGACTACCCAAAATGAAGCACAAGTAAAAAAAGAGAATTAAAAAAAAAATAACAGTATCGTGAGCAATGGACAACTTGAAGCTGCCTAATACACAAGTAATTTAAGTCATGCAGGAGAGGAGAGGCAAATATTTGAAGACCTAATGGCTGAAAATTGTCCAAATTTGATGAAAACTACAAACCCACATATCCAGGAAGCTCAATCAACTCTAAATATAAGAAATATGAATAAGAATATATGAAGATAACTCATAATTAAATTTTTAAAAAACCAATAATAAATAAAAAAGTATAAAACATCTGGAGGAAAAAAGTCTCAATACATAACTGAGAAATAAAATAGACTGCAGATTTTTCATTGGAAACCGTGAAGTACTCAGAGAAAAAGATATCAGTCCAGACCCATTCGTATTTCTTTTAAAAATGAAGGTGAAATAATGATTTTTTTCAAACATACAACTGCTAAAAGAACTCATCACCAGAAGATATGCACTACAACAAATATTAAAGGAAGTCCCTCAGGCAGAAGAATAATGATACCAGGTGGAAATATAGAATATAGATGTATATAAAGGAATAAGGAACACAAGAAATGATAACCAGACGGGTAAATATGTAAGGTTTATTCTTGTTTAAATACCTTTAAATATAATTGACTGTTAAAACACATAGCAATGTAGTATAAGGTTTGCAACATACATAAAAGTAAAATATATGACAATAGCAACAGGAAGGTTAGGAGAGGAAAATAGAAATGTATGATTATAATTTTTTCTTAAAGATTTTATTTATTTAACAGAGAGAGACACAGCGAGAGAGAGGGAACACAAGCAGGGAGAGTGGGAGAGGGAGAAGCAGACTTCCAGCTGAGCAGGGAGTCCAATGTGGGGCTCGATCCCAGGACCCCGAGATCATGACCTCCGGCGAAGGCATATGCTTAACGGCAGAGCCACCCAGGCGCCCTGATTATGTTTTTATACTGTACTATATGAGAATAAGTATGATATCACTTGAAAGTATATTATAATAAGATAAATATATATGCTCTGAGCCCAAAAACCACAAAACAAAGGGTTATAATAAACCACAAACAGAAAAGATAAAATAGAACCATGAAAGTATCCATTTCATCCAAAAGAATACAGAAAGTGGGGAAAATGGAACAAAGAACAAATGGGACAAGTAGAAAATAAACAGCAAGTTGATAGATGTAAACTAACCAAATCAATCACATTAAATGTAAATAGTCAAAATACTGCAATTAAAAGGCAGAGATTGTCAAATTGGATTTTTAAGAAGGCAAAGCGAGCCAAATATTGCCTATAAGAAACCCACTTTAAATATAAAAACACAAAGAGTTTTAGCTTAAAAGGATGGAATTATACCCTACTAACACTAATTTAAAGAATTATGAAGTACCCATATTAATATTAGACAAATAAGACTTTAGAGCAAAGAGTATTACCAAGGATGGAGGTTATTTTGTAATAATAAAAAGGTAAATTGATCAAGAGGACATATCAATCCTAAACATTTAAGCACGTAATAATAGAGCTTCAAATTATATGGGTAAAAATTTAAAGAGAGATTGTTAGACTGGATTTTATAAAAGAAAAAAACAAGATCCAACTATGGTACTTTGAAAAGCTCAACAAAATTAACAAACAACTAGTTTGACCAAGAGAAAAGGCACATATTACTAAAACCAGTAATGCATAGGAAATCACTACCAATTGAACAAGTTAAAAGGATTACTTTGGGAATATTTTGGGGAATCACTTGGGAATACAATGAACACCTTTATGCCATGAAATTAAACAACACAGAAGTGGACAAATTTCTAGAACACCACAAATTAAAGAAACTGATCCAGAAAAAATAAGAAACCTGAATAAACCTATAATGATGTAAAGAAGCTGAATTAGTAAAAAGAAAAGCCTAGGCTTAGTGGCTTCACTGATGAATTCTATCAAATATGTAAAAGGAAATACCAGTCTTTCTTACATTCTTTGAGGGAAAAAAAGAGAAGGAAATACTCTCCAATTCATTCTATGAGGCCAGTATTATTCCAATACCAAAGGGAGACAAACATTATAACAACAGAACTGCAGACCAATATCTCATGAATGTAAACACAGAAATCCTGAACAAAATATTAGTAAATCAAATTTAACAATGTAAAGATGATTATTAACTAAAAGGGATTTATCCCTAATGCAATATTTGTTTACTAATTAAAAACAAATGTAATTCAACATCGTAATAGATAAAAAGATAAAATCACATGATCATGTAATGGAGAAAAGGCTATGACAATAGCCAACACCACTTCACAACAAAAACTATCAACAAAGTAGGAATAGAAGGGAACTTCCTCAACCTGATAAAGAGGACTTTAAAAAACCTACTGCTGACATCATTTTTAATTATAGAAGACTGAATGCTTTCTCCTTAACTGGGAACTAGGCAAGTATATTTGCTCTTACTATTTTTATTCAATGGTGCACTGGGGATTCTAGTTAGAGCAGTCAGTCAAGGAAAATAAATAAAAGTCATTCAAAATGGAAAGAAAGAAGTAAAACTATCTTTATTCACAGACATGATTCTTCTACATGTAGAAAATTCTAAAGACTCAACAAAAAACTATTAGGACTAATAAACAATGTCAGCAAGGTCTCAAGGTGAACATATATATACATATATGAACAATATACAAAATCAATTATATTTTATATACTAGCCACTAACATTTTGAAAAAGGAAATTAAGAAATATTTTCATACCCATAGTATCAAAATTTTTAAAATACTTATGAATAAATTTCATAAAATAAGTACAAACTTGAATACTAAATAAATCACAAAATATTGCTCAAGAAAATTAAAGGAACATCTAAGTAAATGAAGAGATATTCCAAATTAATGGATTGGAAGACTCAATATTATTAGGATGGCAGTTCTCCCCCAGAT